GTAGGAGTAGAGACTGCATTGTATTCAGATAGTGGGGGGATGATGGGGACTGTAGTCTGACCCACCTGGAGAGGATTGGTCTACACCAGGGGTAGGCCACCTTGGCTCTTTTATGACTCGTGGACTTCAACTCCCAGAATTCCTCAGCCAGCATGGCTCAGCTTGGAAACCTCTCCCTTTCCCCTCAGCATGGCTGGCTCAGGAATTCTGGGAGTTGAAGTCCACCAGTCATAAAAGAGCCAAGGTGGCCTACTCCTGATGTATTCTGTGGCATCTTTGAGGGCAGCCAGTCTACCCGTGGCTGCCCTCGGCCTTGGCACCATCTCCTTGGCCAGTTGGGCTACCTACACCTGCCAGCAGATTTGGGTGGGAGAGGATATAAACAAACCAACAAACCAACAGCTTCAAAACCACCTCCCTGTTTTTGATTCTGATATGTTGTTCATAAAAGTTAGCAAAAACGATACCGAAAATTACCATAACAAAACGCTTGCCTCTTTGTAATTGGGGGCCTCCTTGTAATTTCTCACGTTTTCCATCCCCATTTGCTTGATTGCAGGAGGGACAACATCTGTTGCCAAAGGTCTGGCCCAGGCCTGTAGGGTGTGTCTGAAATTTGCTCAAGGGCCAGTGGTGACCTAGCAAAAATAAGAATTTCTGCTTTGCTGTGTTGAATTGTATTTATTTTATTTTATTTTTTTAAAAATCATTTGCAAAGGCAAGGCCAATTATTCCTCTCTTATCTGTCTGCCCTTTCTAAATCAAGTAAATTGGTGTTGACAGTTGCCATTGTTTTTCTTTATGCCCTAATTTTTAAAAAATCCTTGCAATTGAATGTCTTGCTTTTGGGTGGGTGCTATTGTACTGTAATTCTTTTTGTTTCGCTGTAGGATGAAGACAAAATTAATAAAGACGAAGAAGCCATGGCTTGGAAACTTCTCTCACTTGCTGAGGTTAGCATTATGTTGGAACAAGACATAGCAGGAGTTGAGAAGTAAGTTGGATGGGACATCGACAGATCTTGCCCTGGCCATCATCTGCTGAGGCAGCAGCGAGTTGGTTTGCACATGGAGTGTGTCTGTGTGTGAGGGGAACAACCCTGTGGCCTGGGCTCTTGCGATGTGTGTGTTCTTCCTTTTTAAAGAGAGATGGAGCTTCTGTGTCATTTTTCACTACTGATCCAGGGACAAAGTCACATTCCTCGGCATGCCACAGACTGTGTGGACCTGCCCCTCGGTTTCCAAGTCAGTCTCAGAGGCCCAGATCGTGGTTGGGGGTCTTAAGAGGAGACCATTTTGTGATCCCATCTAAGTGATGCTCAGGAGGAGTAATGCAAACAAGGCCTCTTTTATTTGCACCGTCCGATGTTCCAAAATATTTTCTTGGTCGGGCCAACTCATAATAAAACGTGAATCCGTTTTAATTTTAAATCCAGTGAAACAAAGTTTACATTTTAAAGACCTACAAACCAGGGGTCTTCAAACTTGGCAACTTTAAGACTTGTGGACTTCAACTCCCAGAATTCCTCAGCCAGCCCTGGCTGTCTGGCTGAGGAATTCTGGGAGGTGAAGTCCACAAGTCTTAAAAGTTGCCAAGTTTGAAGACCCCTGTTCTAGACCATAAGCTGTGAATGTCATTACTATCGTTTTTGAAAATATCATTTAATTTTTAGTACAAATACAATGCAGATTTAGTTTTGGACACTGACTCTGCCTAGCTGTGGCATTAAAATAGTTTCAAAAATGCCACATTTCTGCAGTCAGAAAAATCCATGTGGGGAAAACTGGTCCTCCAAAAGCAGCTTAAATTTAAACGGTTAAGTTTCTGGCACTGGTTTTTAATTCAAGGTTTGAAGAGCCATCCGATTTCTGCTCATTCCTGGATTTGCAAAAATTTGTCCCATTGAAAGTAAATTGGCACAATTACACGGAGGGGGGCTGTTTTTGTGTTCTGATGTTCTGATATTTTTCAACTGCAGGAGTCTGGAAGAGTTTCTGAATCTGAAGCACCGACTGACTAATTTGAAAGAAGCTGCATTACTGGATTATTATGTCTCTGGATTTTGGTGGGCCAAAGGATTAGACTTCTCATCTGTGCAAATTGGAGGATTCCTGACTCTCCTGAATTTGCTGCTGGATAATCTGGAGAGTAAGTTCAGCCACATCCTATGAATGTACCCATTCTCCTTTGGATTATTGTATGTAAGAATATTAAGGGCAGAGTTATTTGGGAATGTCCCTGCCCTCCCAAAATTGTAATTTTACCCTGAAAGGACAATATAATAATAGTAGTAGTAGTAGTAGTAGTAGTAGTAGTAGTAGTAGTAGTAGTAATAATAATAATAATAATAAAGTTGGAAGGGACTTTGGAGGTCATCTAGTCCAACCCCCTGCTCAGGCAGGAAACCCTACACCAGTGATGGTGAACCTTTTAGAGACCGAGTGCCCAAACTGCAACCCAAAACCCACTTATTTATCGCCGGGTGCCAAGTGGGCGTGGCCCATTGGGTGGGCGTGGCTGTGGTGGTCATGGCAGATTGGGTGGGTGTGGCCAAGATGGGCGTTATCACCTCAATGTTGCTCGTGGGGAGGGACGCCTGTGGGGGCTGGGCAGGGTTGGGGGAGATCCAGGGGGTCTCTGGCAGATGGGGCGATGGGCAGGAGGCTTATCCTGCTGGGTGAGGCGAGGCAAGGTGAGGCAGGGCAGGGGTGCCATTGTCAGAAGGCAAGGTGAGGCAGGGGCCGGGGTGGCTGCTGCCTGACACCATCGGCCGCTGCACACAGAGGCCAGCGAGCCCATGGGTGCTGGGATGCATCCGGCCATGTGGGACCTCGGCGAGTTAGTGGGTGGCTGGTTGAAGAGGGATGGTTGCCATCTCCGGGGCATAGCGCACGTGCCCACAGAGAGGGCTCTGAGTGCCACCTCTGGCACGCGTGCCATAGGTTCGCCACCACTGCCCTATACCATTTCGGACAAATGGCTGTCCAGTCTCTTCTTGAAAACTTCCAGTGTTGGAGCATTCACCGCTTCTGGAGGCAGGTTGTTCCACTGGTTAATTGTTCTAACTGTCAGGAAGTTTCTCCTTAGTTCTAGGTTGCTTCTCTCCTTGATTAGTTTCCATCCGTTGCTTATTTATTATATATATGCTTATATATTATATACATATGCTTATTTATTCCCTGTATTTGTATGCCATTTTCTATGCCAAGACATTTCAAAGCTGTTTATGACAACAAACTCTAGAAATAGATTGGGACTGTTGGGCTGCATATGACTTTTCCCTGTAATGGGTGGGGTGTGGTGGAAGTTCCCACCCACCCCTCTTTTGTATCTGTAACAATGGGAGTGGTCTACAACCACACTAAATGAGTAATAGCCCAGTCCTCAAAGCACACCTCCACCAGTGTGCTTGAGTCCTCAGAAGTTGCTCACATTTACGCCAAATCATGGCTTAACCTCTGAACTTGGCCACAAACATGGTTTGATTACAGCTGGCATTCCAGCACATGAACCCAATTAACATGGATTTGGAAACCACAGTTTGTGCCGGCCTTAGTTTGCTCTTGTCTCTTAAATCATCTTGCCACAAAAATGCCAGAAGAAGAGAGATGGATCTAGCCAGGATGCTGCTGAGATATTTCAGAGCTCAAACAGACACAGGTTCTTATCAGAGGTTAGTTCAGCCCAAGGGGCCAGGCAGCTTCTGAAGCCGCAGAGTGCCTTCCCTGGACCCCCTTGCCTGCTCAGGAGAGCGATACCTACCCATCAGCAAGCACTCTGTTTGCACTCCTGCTTGGCAAGTGCCAGGCATGTTGATTTCTCTCCTGGGATTCGAGCAAAAACAAAGCCAGAATTGCATGACAGGAATCAGCCAGCCTTTGACAAAG